GGATTTGAGTTAGGAGGATAACCCATAGTGAATCTCTTACGCATTGTAAGAACAGAAAGGTTCCCTTTCTTGCCAATCCTCAAGTCAGCCTATTCATTCTCTGAAAAATCCCACAGCAACCATTTCCAGCACAAGCCAATTTTCCCTGTTCTCTTTTCTTGGCTATTGTACTAGCCAGTGAGAGTTCAGTCTATGAATGTAGAGTATATGAACTGCTTCAGTGCAGAGTGTAGCCTTATTTCAGGCAGATAGCAGTAGGTTGTTTGCCCTCTTCCATGACTTAATTGAGGGAACTTTAGGGGACTGACGAAGAGGTATCCAAAGCTTTAGCTTCCTTTCCATTTTCAGAAGCCTTTGCTGTTTGCCGAAACTACAATCCCCCTGAAGGTTATGTGCCGAACATGTCCAATCCCCTATTGGATCATTGCTATGGTAAGAAACCTTGAAGGGAAGAGGGTATGGTTGATGATGATACTCTGGGAAATGTGGGAGAAGGATGCTGAAAGAAGAGGATGAATGGTTCAAGTTATTTGTAGGAACATTGTAAGTAATGGGATTCTGGGAGGGATCAATGCTATTGTCTTGAGGGAAATAGCAATTTTTTGGTCCCTAAAGGCCTCTAAGCAGAAGGTGGGTGGATATCTATCTGAGATGCAATACTAATTGGTTTCCTGCATTGGAAAGTGTTTGGCCTAGATGACCTTGACTGTGTGGTCCTTGATAGCTGCTGGGAATTAAAGTGTCAGCTTTGGAAACCTTATTCAATGCTGCCACATAGCTTGAGAAAGTGGGAGGGGGATGATTTCAATTGGGTAGCTTTAAGTAGACAAAATAGAATTTGTTAGTTCAAGGTCATGAAGTGTGGTGCAGGAACAAAAAGGAACTTACTTTGGGATTGGTTCATATGATGAAAAAGGAATGGGTTGTAGGTTGGGACATTGTGGAAAGTTCCGGGGAATTTAGTTCTGAGATTTCACAGATGTGCCAGGTGCTATTCTAATAAAGGTACTTTTGAGATGACGCTTGTCTCGGAGTTATTGATTGGAATGGAGGTTTGCTGGAACGCTGACATTAGGAGGAGCTTGAGTTTAGACTGCTATTCTTTTTCTCAGGGAATTCTAAGTAGCAACTACAGGTAGAATGTGTTTGGTACCTGCTCTTGAAATCAGTTGAAACATCTTGAGAAACTAAGGTCAAGGAAAGAGAGGACAGAACCTTTGGTGAAAGAAGGAAACTTCTTGGACTGTCTTTAATGGAAGAAACAGAAGGCAAATTATATAATGGCTCGATTTTGCTGTTTCAGCGAACAAGGGATTAACCAAGAGATTAATTTTTGCTGCCCAGACCTTAATTGTGAGCCTAGATTATAATGCAATTTAATGTAAACTGCCCTCAACTTTTAGGAAAAACTAGACAATCTGTGATCTGTTGGGTCGTTGTTCAGAGATATTTCCTTCCCAGATTCACCAATGCCTTCAACAGTGGCAGTAGTTCCTAATGTACTACCTTCACTGGAAAAGTTAAGTCATAAAATGTTTTATAAAATTTGCCAAATTTTAATTCCATAGGAGTCATGGGTTCTGGATTTTGAAGGTATTTTGTAAGTTAGCCTATTTGAGGTACCTTGGTTCAAAATTGGTTGCCCAGTGACACATCATCTTGCCTAGTTAAAGGGTACACACAGCCCAACATGAGAATTTATAGATGGTAAAGTTGAGGAGGGAAATTTGTTTATTGTTTCTTTGAATAAATATCAGAACACAAATAGCCACAAAAACTACTTCTGCCCTAAAAATGAAACTTCCTAAGAAAAATTCTGGGTTGCGAGAAACTTCCTCAGCTGTAGAAGAGAAGCACAAGTAGAACAAATCTAAGAATATTTAGGCGATGACAATACTTAGAAAGAGGTCTTGTTGCAGGCAATAATTGTCTTCTTGCTTTTGACATCTCTCCACTACAGATGTGGATTTTAATCAGCTGGAGGGTCCCAATCGGGTCATTGTCCCTTTCCTGGCTTGTGGCGATCTGAGTGCTTACGATTCCGATCGGACCTATCCACTGCAGGTAAAACTCGGTGTCCTGCTGGTGTAGCAGGTGATCTGGAAATAAGCAGAGGTGGCTCATCCAAAATCATTTTCACATGAACCAGACTTGCTGAGCTTTTAATTGGGAAAAATTCAAACCCGGCAACTAAGCAACAGGTTTGCTCTGTTGTTTGGATGGATAGATGCAGACCCCATTCTTTGGCCAGCCTCGGGAGTAGTATTTGCAACCCTTTCCTCCAGCAAGGGGGCCACAATTGGTGCAAAGTCTTTGAATCCAGAACTGTTGGCAAAGAAGCCTGAAAGCAGGCGGAGAGAAAGTTGAAAATAGCAACAGCACTTAGACTTGTATACCGCTTCACAGTGCTTTTACAGCTCTCTCTAAGCGATTTACAGAGTCGGCATATTGTCCCCAACAATCTGGGTCCTCATTTTACCCACCTCGGAAGGATGGAAGGCTGAGTCAACCTTAAGCCTTGGTGAAATCTGAACTGCCAAACTGCTGGCCGCTGGTGATCAGCAGAAGTAGCCTGCAGTACTGCATTCAACAAGAAGAAATGTTGGGGATCTGGTGTTCCAATCAGGGGCAGGTTCCAAATAAATAAGCTAATATAAACCTTTCTCCTTCTTCCATTGGGTCAGCTGGATCCTGAGAAGGAGTATACCTACGTGCCCCCGACTCAGCCGCCCATCCGTCCTGCTTACGAAGAAGCCTGCTTCTTAAAGAAACACAACCTCCTTACCAAGGAACAAGGGCCCCACTCTCAGCTGCCAGAGCAAGGGGCTTCAAATTTTCCTCTAGAGACTGAGGTCGTAGATGCCCTGGAAGAACTGTCAGTCTAACGTAAATCACAGGACTAAGGAGAGAAAAATATGGCCCAGTGCCGGATTGAAAGACTACATTTTATCTTCTGCAGAAGCCAAGGTGGGAAGAATGAGCTTGTCTCCAGAGTTGGAACTTTGAGGGGGCATGTTCTCAGGTCACATTGTACTACAACAGGCCTTTGGAGTCACATTGAAATGCAAAAGAACTCTGCCCCTCCAATGTATACACATAATCATTGACAACCTGGCTATCCAGCAGCAGACTTCAGAAGCAGACTGCCTATTGTCTCTAAATTATCTATTTAGAGATAATGGGTGAAAATTTAACTGAAAGGGGGATTCTGTAAAGGCACATGAGATTGTGTTGTTATATTTGAAATAGAAATAACTTTTAGAAAATTGGAAACAACATATGATTAGAATGAGGGGATAGAATGGTTAGTGTAACTTAGTGAAATGTTTGTGAATAAAGTAAATGAAATAAAATAAATGAGAAAATTGAATTAGGAAGGAATGGGAACACTTTAATTAGTCAATGTTTTATAAAATATAAGTGAAGGGGGGGGGAATTGATTATGGAAAGCTAATAATTGTTCCCATTAGAGGTATGATATTTAATTGAAAAGTAACGTGAAAAATCTTAAGACTTTAATGAATTTTAATATTAACGATAGAATTGAATTGGAATGTTGTTTTAATTATATACATTTATAATTTTTTTATAAGAATATTGTGTGTAGTTTAAGAATGTACCAAACAGAATCCGAACAGAAGCTATGTATTATATTGAGTGTTATAATTTCAGGGGAAAGATATAAAGGTGCCATACTCCTATCAGTAACTACAGGAGAAATTTTGTTTAATGAGAAAAGATAATAGACAATTGAAACAGGACAGACAAAAAATATAAATATAATGATTTGAATTGAGATGAAATAAATATAATAAAATTGAGGAAATTAAAAGAGGGGAGACGCTATGTAGAAAATGTAAAATTGTAATAAGATATGGAATAGAATATAAAAATGAGCATGAACCTGAAAATGTAACCCGGGATTATGCTGCTTTCAAAAAAGATGTTTTAATTTTGTTTGTTTTCTTTTTGTGAAAACTCAAATAAAATTTACAAAAAAAAAAAAAAGAAGCAGACTGCCTATAACAGAGATTGTGAAGGGTTATCGTGCAGTGCTGTTGCATTAGTCAACCTGGCTGTTAAGAGAACAGCTTGAGAGGCTGTTTCTTTCCTCCCCACTTCCTGCTTTTTTCGCCTCCTTTCCAAAGGGGAGAACTTGCAATGGTTGAAACTACAGTCACTTCTTCTCTGTCCCTTTTTCAGTTTGCTCCACTCCTACCCCCAGATCTGCAAGAGGATGGCAATCAAAGCAACCACAGAGTTGGAGTGTTTTTACAGGGCTCTTCATCTCAATCATAGATACTGAAAGTGAAGGAAGGGCGCATAGTTTCACACCAGACAGCAATAGGCCTACTGAGGTAATTGAAACATTACTAGGTTAGCATTTAAAATGTGTTGTACAGACAGAGCCTCAGCATCTCTGTCAGCTCTGTTCTAAGGCGAGATAATGGATAACTGGAATGCTCATATAATGTCAGTTTTAGGAGAAAAAAAGGCAAATGGTTTTGCTCTTGTTAGTTTAAAAGATATTTAACTTAATTCCTTATTAGTTTGCACCTTTTCCTATTTTATTGCTCAAAAAGCTTAGGAAATTCCTCTGTGCTTATACTACAACATTTTAATAAAATTTCAGAATTTCTTCAATGCTTTCTTCAGTATAGACCTGCCTAAATTTCTCCTTTCACCATCCCTCTCCTGAAATTCTTGTATAGCTATAAACAGGACTTCCTTAGACTAAGTAACTCAGGTTCCGTGAAGATATTCAGAGTGGCTTATGACAGAGATCTTTAATCAGCAACATTCTTCATGAATTGATCAGATGTTCCCAATTTCTCTGTTCGGCCTGTTGTAAGTGTTTCTAACTTCATTACACTTACAGTGGAGTGCCATGTTTTATCTCTTAAAAACAAAGCACATATAAAAGTACAGTCTTCAGATTAAATACAAATTCCTAGGTTTTCTCAGTGTGCTGAATCCTAACCTAATTATAGTGGCTTGGTTTGTATGATGCCTGACACCATAAAGTAGCCAACCATATTTGAGTTTAGTGAGTACTGCAGAGTTGTAATGTTGAACAAGGGGGGCCCTTCGCCCTAATTTCCTGCGCCACCTGAAAAGTTCTTCACAAGAAAATAAGTTAGGTTTCTGGAAAGAGTAAGAGGAAAAGGAGAAGTATAAAGACGGGTTGTTACAAAGGAACAGAACAATGGCTCTGTTTTCCCAATAAGTCTTCACAATCCATCCTGAGGAAGTTTAGCCACGGCTGGAACAAAAGTTCTCCACCTAATACAGAAGCACTGAAATCTCCCACAATATTATATGTTTGGGCATATCTGCACACAGGTGCGCATTTTTGCCTGGTCATACCTGGAGTTCAATATCCCCACCATCACCAATCTGTATGCCTTGACATTATGCATTCTGGATTCAGCTGTCACTGTGTCTCTGTCCTTTAAAGACGGTGGCTATACAGCAGAGGCTCCATTTGCTTCCATTTTGTTAATGTGGGATTGGATTTGGATTTCACTTGACCCTTCGGTTCCAGGTTGTTGTAGGCTTAACTTAAGCCCCTCTGTCTTCAGGGCTCCCCCTCTCTGGCAGCCAGGCCCCCAGCTTTGCTGCTGTCTGTTCACAGGCTCCTTGACAATGAAATCAAAGCGGTCCAGGGGAGAATGTTCAATTGTACAGAAAGCCTCATCACAGAGGTAGCCAGGGTTTGTTCCCTCCACAGACACACCATCAGCGGGGCTACAACGACCAGATGGGCCTTCCTGGGTCTGGGAAGCTTGATGGTGGATGACCTGCTCAGCTTCCATGGAGGGCTCAATTCTTCGGAAAGAATAATGAGCAAATATGCCAATAAAGAACATCTCAATGGCCAAAGCATAGTAGTAGATCACTGTAAAGATAAAAAGAGAAGTATGAAGATAGGGTAGCCTACAGAAAGGATGTTATTTGCTCATATCCCAATTGCCTAGGACAGCGGCCCCCAACCTTTTGGGCACCGGGGAGAGGTTTTTCTGTGGACCAGAGGGTTGGGCGTGGGTCCACAAGCTGCCTTCATTCCACAGATGGGGCATTGCTTGTTTCCGTGGCCCAGTTTTTGGCATTCAGCGGCCTGGTACCAGTCCACGGGCCAAGGGTTGGGGACCCCTGCGCTAGGAGCATAATCAGATGACTGGAAGAAATCAGGTTAAGGAAATACAAGCTACATGATTTTGGCCAAATCCTGAAGACACGGCAATGTACGCAAGTCGGCTTCCTTTTTGTAAAAGTAGCCAGAAAAGTATTTTTTGAAAATGTGTGGGCAATGCCTCAGGAAAACGGAACGGATCAAGATGGGGCTTTATCGCCTTGCAGAACGTCTCTATTTATAGAATAAATAAAGCTACAACAAATTCTGGAAACAAGGGCATTATATTCACTCCATATTGTAACTTTGACAAATCGAGATCTTCAGCTGCAGTCTTGAACTGTTCATTAGGGGGGCAAGTGCTGCATAATCTTGGGAAAGGACCAGAATCAAACCTTCAGGCTCCTTTTCGGCAGCTCCAGGGTACAATGCAAGCTAGCACACAGGCTGGCAGATCGCTGCTACCTCAGTTGCTGTGGTAGAATGGCTGGGAAGGTGCGCCTACATTCAGGCAAGGAAGTCATGCTTCACCATACCTGTGCTTCAAAGCCAGACTCATCAGCTACTGTTCCCCAAGCTTTTTTTCTTGCTCATGTCTACTGGACTACTGTAATGTGCTGATGGGGCTACCCTTGAAGAGTATTCGGAAGCTACAATTGACACAATGCAGCTGCATGGACAGTTCTAGCTAGGTTGACCCATGAAACACCAATGTGGTGTAAGCGGAGTGTTTGCCAGTTTGCTCCCGGATGTAATTCAAGGTTATAGTTATTACCTTTAAAGCCCTTAACGGCATGGGACCTACCTACCTATGGAACCATCTCACCTCAATGGGATCGGCCTGCTCTGCTAACTCTGGCAGAAGGGGCCTGCGTTGGATCCCGTCAGTCAAGGAACTTCAGCTGGTGGGGTCTAAGAAAAGAGCCTTTTCTGCCATGGTTCCCACTCTCAGGAACATCGTGTTGCTGGAGATGAGATCTGCTCCCACCCTCTAGGCCAGGGTTCCTCAACCCCTGGGCCGCAGACCAGCGGCAGTCTGTGGTCTGCCAGAAACCAGGCCGCACAAGCAAGTGAAACCCCATCCATACATGCAGGATGCAGGCAAGGTATAAAACTAGTGCCCCCCCCCAGCCCCCATCTGCGGAAAAACCGCTCTCTACAGAACTGATCCCTGCCACCGTTCAAAAGGGCCTCAAAACCTGGCTGTGGCAATGGCCTTTGGGGCTCTGATGGGGGTATTCCATGCTGGAGGTGGTTAGTGGACTAGGAAGATCCCAGCTCCATCTTGATCATGTAATGGTTCCCACTGTACCCAATTTTTGTTAATTTTAACCTTTAACATTTTTAAGGTCTTAATGTTTTTATCTTATTGTTTTTATGATGTTGTAAACTGCCCAGAGCCACTTGATAGTGAAATGGGTGGTATATAAATTTAATAAATGTATATATGTAGCATGTATGTATGTGATATGTAAAATTATACCTGTGAAAATATAAAGCAACGGTAACGCCATTTTTGGCCTCTTTGTTAACCTAAGACAATTTACTGGAATATTATGTAAGAATTCTCTGTATTGTTTTGTATGAAGGTCATATATTTGGCAGGTAATGCTGTCCAGTGTCATGTTAATGATGGGAGATTACTGGAAATGGAAATGGGTAAACAGGACAAGGAAACAGATGGTATGCTACAATAGTAGGGTGTTGCATAGGGTGATACATAGCTGGATAGATTGTGAACCCGGAAAGGAGCAGTGACTATATATATTTGAAACTGTATATAAACCCCAGCTCTCCTAGGAAACATGTCTTCTGTGGTTCCACCCATGAGCACAGAATTCCCTTTTGCAAAAGCTCCATAATAAAAATCTTATTTATTCTTCAAGAGTCTCCAGTTGTATGAAAACCTGAATGGTTGATTTTTATCACAATGTATCGTTAGATTCCTCATTTTTCGACTGCTAAGGAAAAAACCCCACAGCACTATCAGCTAGGTGAGAGAAGACACAGAAAGAACACTCTTGCTAAAAGTCTTATCCAGCCACCTGCCAAAATCTTTGCTGGTTGTTTGCGGCTGTATTGTCAGAAAGGCATCTCTTAAGTCCACCTGCTCCACTTGTAAACCCCTGTGCCTCACGGAGGTGACTTACTTTGGGAGCGGGTAACAGGGGAGAGAGATGGGCTGCAAGGAATGGCACCCAAGGCTCCCAACGTTTCCACGATTCCGCTCTGCAGCCCGCAAAGGACAAGAACCAAAATGATGCAGACAAACTTGTAGCGCAGGTTGTAGCCATCAAGGGCCGGCTTGGTGGCCTTGTAAAAGAGCAAGTAGCCATAGAAGGAGAGGAAGGTAGAGATGGCGATAATGACATTGATGTAGGAATTGGGATTGGTGTAGCCCACCTGGAAGAGAAAAGGTCATGACACACTAAGAGTCTTCTTGGTTGTGACCCACAGACATGCATTAAGTTGATTTCAACCTTCGGCATGAAAGGCATGTCGAAAATCTTTCGGCTTAAGAAAGTTCCTGAATATTATCTCTCTAGAGCAGGGGTGTCAAAGGAGGGGGCATGGCTAGCTCAATGTCACTCACTGAGGCCCCGTTTCAGCCATGCCAGCCCGCCCGGGCTTCGTTTTCACTGGCAGGCGGTTGCAGGAGGCTGTTGTGGCCCAAAATGGAGTCCAGGAGGGCTGTGGTGACCCTCCTGAGCTCTCTTTTTGCTGGCAGAGGCACCGCAGGCTGGTCCTTTGCTGTTTCCAGGGAGGAGCCGTGGGCCAGATCTAAGCATCCCATGTGCCAGATGTGACCTGCGGGACTTGAGTTTGACACTCCTGCTCTAGAGCAAAACTAGGACATTACGCACAGTGATTCTGTCGGTGGGATTCAATTTTTTTTTTACCACCGGTTCTGTGGGCGTGGCTGGGTGGGCGTGGCAGGGGAAGGATACTGTAAAATCTCCACTCGCTCCCCACCCCACTAACCTGCTTTCCAGCTCCGTTCTCCTGTGCAGGGCAACAAAAGAAGACCCAGCCGATCAGCTGGGACTCGGGAGGCAGAGAATAGTTGGGGGCAGGGCCAGTCAGAGGTGGTATTCCGAACTACTCAAAATTT